ACACACACACACACGCACACGCACACAGAAAGGAATTGTAAGTCCCCTTGGGTAGGAGTGAGGATTTGCCATTTTAAATCTTTAGGGGAGGCCTCAACAAGAAGATGAAACAGAGGGCCCTGAAACAAGGAGCAAGACTGAAAGGACTGAGCAAAAGCATAATGATGGTGGGTTAGTTTAGTTTTGTAGAAAAAATAATTTATGTTTATCTTCAAATCAATTGGATAGGATTTGCTGATAGAATGGATATAGGCTGAGAAAGACAGAGTCAAAATGACTAAAAGATTTATAGCCTGAGCAGCCAGAGAGATGAAGTTGCCATATGGAAGAGAGGTGGGCAGGGGAATAGAAAGCTTGGGAGTTTCGTTTTTAAAACATCTTTGGCCCATTAAATATTTAAGAAAAGATGTTCAACAAACATTTGGTTATGAGTCTGGAGTCCAGGCCGGAGACATAAATCTAAGTGACATAAGATTAGATGTGTTATTTTAAGTTATGAGATTGGATGTGATCATCAAAAGAGTAGTGTGTGTAGACAGAGAAAATGATGTCCATTATTTGTTAATGCAATCATAGAGTTAGTATAAACATGATACTATATAGTGTTTACTTAGAGATCAGTAATTACTTGCGTAGAGAACTATAACAAATATAAATTAGGACAACTGCAAAATAAGGGTGGTTTAATAAGTAGCAAAAGTCTCTGAAATAACAGTACACCAAAAAGAAATAACAAAAGCGAGATGTCCCCTAAGAACTAAGAAATGGAAAACAATATTGCCCATATCAGAAAGTCCTTATATATACTATTACTATCATGTGACTGGACTGAGTAAAAGACTGAGTAAATGAATAAAACCAGAAATCCATGAAGTCTTCCTCAAAAGTATAAATAGTATTAAAATCTTATATAATAAAATGGTAATATGCAAATTGACCCTGACAGCAGAATGACCAGAATGACCACTGGACCAGTAACTATGAGGCGAATGGCCATCCGCGGTGCGGGTAGTTACATCCTAGGCCAGTATCTTCACTGACAAGGTCAACCTTTACCTTAACTGAGCCTATCTGTCTTTTTGCATCTATAATAACATACCCTTGAAATGTCTGGGTAACTTGTAACTTCCCTTTATCTGGACCCCTTGAGGCACAACCTAATGTGCCTGGGCTTCAGGACAGATACCACAGATTCCTTCATTGTTATGTTAATTGTTCCTGCACCCACCTAAGTATGTGTCTATCATTTTACTTTTTATCCAATCCCAGGGATTTCCCTACTCTGCTTTCTCCTGCCTCTCTAGTCTATCACCAATGGATTTCCTGTAACCCACCTATGTGCCTTTCCTTTGATTGCAATGTATACTAGTAAATACAGATGTAACCCACCATTCTCTGGAGTATTATCTCAATTTGTTGAGGTTCTGCTTCCTGGCATATGTCAACAGTTTGGCTCAAATAAACTCACAAAGGATGTGAGGGCGATCTGGCTGCGACATCTGTCACCCCATTGATCGCCAGGGTTGATTCGGCTGATCTGGCTGGCTAGGCAGGTGTCCCCCTCCTCCCTCACCGATCCATGTGCGTCCCTCCCGAAGCTGCGCGCTTGGTCGAAGAGGACGACCTCCCCCCCCCCCCCCCCCCCCCCCCCGAGGAGAGGACCGGTCTTCGGTCAAGGGTATACGAGTAGCTGCGCTCCCCTGCTAGAACCTCCAAACAAGCTCTCAAGGTCAAATAAACTCACAAAAATTCTTTACAGGTTTCACCCGGTTTTTTTACATTAACAAACCAATGAATGCATAAGAAAGTGAAACAATGAATCAATATTTTTCTCTCACTTTCTTGCTTTCTTCTCAAATTACTTAATAATTTTTTATTTTTTGTAAGAAAATCTCCATGCAATTTTCAGAACAGGTACTGGGGCATAACTCAAATCTGACCATTCTGACAATTATACCTCTCAATATTAAGTAATAGCTTGGCATTTTGGCATTCTTAAAAAAAAGAGTTTGGAAGTTAGAATCTTTTACTATTATAAATAATACTACAACAAGTAAGTCTGTGGCAAATTACATTAGGAAAGTTACCACTTTCTATTTTTGTTTTGTACTTCGTTAACTGTATATAAGACCTATTTCATAATATTGGTGTGAGGATTTAAGTGACATAAAAATTACCATCTCAGTGCAAAGTCCAGAGTACAAACTCAGAAAGTCTTGTTTGTTTCCAAGATCAAGACATAGTCCTGGGTCAGGTGGAAGTGTAGGTAGATAGCCATGTGAGTTAACGAGTATGAAAATAGGGACTAAAGTCTAATTAACACAAGTCTCTAGAATGTTATTATCTTACCTGGTCAACATTTTTTTTTAATTTTTATAAACATGAGATGAACATGTACTTACTACAAATTCAAGTAAGAAATCACATAGGCAAAAGTTTATTCTACCTTCAAGCAAGTTTAGTCTGATTTCCAATTTTGCTTGTATATCCATGAGTCCCAGAAAAAGCAATGTAATTTGCCTAGAGTCTCAGAAAAATCATACAAAGGGGAGCTAGAATCGTCTCAGTTTCTAAGTGCAAGACTCTTTCACTTTTCTCAAAATGTTTTTATAAAAAATGTTGTACCACCAAATACTTCTACAAAATTAAGAGGAATTATAAAGAGTGATTACAATGCATATCTTTTCCTCCATAATATTTTGCCCTTTAAATAAACGTGGAGGATAAAAGTAAGGTAGAGAAAAATGGTAGAAGTCATCCTGGAAAGGTAAAGGGTATGAAGTTTCACTGAAGTTAATTAAAAACTGTGGCAAACAAATAAACACTGATGAAACAGCAAACACATAAAAAAATACTAAGTCACTACAAAGAAGATATATATCTATCTATTCCATATATACATATATATATATATACACACACACACACACATATATATATATATATATGTATAGCCAGTGACCAGAACGCCAGAACGACCAGAATGACCGGTTGCTATGATGCCCACTGTGGCCAGAGACTGGCCTGATTAGGGGGTGGGGCCGGGGGCCAACCTCCCGTGGTCCCTCCCCCCAGCCAGACCCACCCTGCAGTCCTTTCCCCTGGCCAGCCCGGCCCCACCCCATCAGCCCATAGTCCATCCCCCAGGCCTGCCCCACCCCTGATCGCTGCCCCCCCAACCTCCTGAAGGCCCTCCCCCTGCCCAGCCCCACCCTGCCCCCGATGGGGTCCCCCAACCCAATAGGCCCACAGTCCCTCCCCCCAGCCAGCCCCTCCCCTGATCGCACCCCTTACCCCAATAGGAGGCGGGGGCGGCCGGCTAGCCAACCTCCTGCAGGCCCTCCTCTCGCCCGGCCCCACCCCAGATCATCCCCCCCACCCTGATCAGGTGCAGGGCCGGCCAGCCAACTGCCTGCAGTCCTTCCCCCAGGCCGTTCACCCCTGATCGGCCTTCCACCCCATTTGAGGACAGGGCCAGCTGGTCCACTGCCCACAGCTCCTCCCCATGGCCTGCCCCACCCCCGATCAGCAGGCCCCACCACCCCGAATGGCCCACAACCCTTCCCCCCAGCCAGCTCCATCCCCCCACCCCATTGGGGTTGGGGCCTGCCAGCCAACCTCCCGCTGTCTCTTCCTCCCCACAGGCCCGCCCCGATCCACCCTGATTGGGGCCAGACCAGCCGGACCCCACCCGTGCACAAATTTGTGCACTGGGCTTCTAGTGTGCGTGTGCGTGTACGTATAAATCCTAAGTCACTACAAAGGACATATATATAAATAACTGGTTAAATAACAATCATCAATTAAAAAAGGTAGATCATGTGTGTCATAATTCAAACCAACAAACTGTATTTTAAAAGTGATAACATTTATGAAATGATTATAAACTTTAAATTGGTTATTTGGTGATATTAATAAAATATTGCTACCTTGGGACATGATAATGATATTAGAGTGATGTTTAAAAAAAACAATAGAGAAAGTAAAGCCTTTTTTAAAAAATATATTTTTATTGATTTCAGAGAGGAAGGGAGAGATGGAAACATCAATGATGAGAATCACTGATGGGCTGCCTCCTGCAGGCCCCCTACTGGGGATTGAGCCCGCAACCTGGGCATGTGCCCTTGACCAGAATTGAACCTGAGACCCTTCAGTCTCACAGGCCAACACTATCCACTGAGCCAAAATGGCTAGAGTGTAAAGTTCTTATCTTTTGGTACTACATTCTGAAATATTTATAGATGAAATGATGTCTAAGATAACCTTCAAAATAACATGGAAAGGAAAACAGGGGTAGAGAGATAAAACAAGATTGGCCATGATTTGATAACTGCTATAGCTGGGCAATGGTTACATGAAGGGTTCATTATGCTATTATGTATCCTAAAAAAGAGGCTGAAATATTCTATAATAAGAACTTTTATAAAACAGATAAAATTGCTAATGGCAAATATCATAAAAGTAGTGTAAATAGTACAAGCTTTAACTCCTTGACACATTCATACTATTGTCTCAAAGAGCTTATACTGCCTTAAATGATGACTCACGTACTCAGAATACATAAAGATATCCCTCAAAGTAAGAATGCTTAGAGCTCTTCTAAACTTCTCAATCATGTATGAATGAGAATATATTCTGAGACTGGCCCCAAATCCCAAACTAATACTACCAAACTACAAACATAGGTTCTCACAAGAAATCAGAGTTGCATTTAAAAAGCAGGGAAGTCATAACTAACTATACCTCAATCCATGTAAATCATTTCTATGTCTTCACGTAGAGTACCATTTACTTGTAAGAGAAACACAGAAAGCAAGAAAGATACTATAACCATGATCCCTGTTGTGATTACTACCTAAGGCAATTTATGAAATAAAGTTACCAAGAATCTTTAGTAGTCACTAAAAGTATTAACAGTACTAGAATTAACCAACAGCTCTTATCAAGCTCCTTTACTTGGTCATCATTATAGAAACAAAGAAGAGAAGCATAATACATACTGGAGGCCGGCCAGGACGACCCCTTTTCCTTTTCCCTTTGACTTCAGTTTCTTCAAGTTCGCTGCCAGCATCAGAATGAGCAGTAGTTTCATTAGTTGAATCCCTAGAAAATGTGATATATTATTTTAGTGAACAAATTAATTCATAAATACAATGCAGTATCGTTCCACTATTTTCCTTACCTCCTATTATATGGATGCTTAAGAAGTGGTTTATACTTCTACTTTAGCAAATCAAAAATGTTATCCTCCCTGGCTAATATCACATAACATTGAGTGAAATGAAGCTCCCAAATAGAGAAATAAAAAGGAGGAAATGACTATGGAAATGGCAGCTGCTATACAAAATATAAATGTAAAATACAATGGGAAAAGACTAATTCTTCAATATAAAAAGAAAGGTTTGGGAAGAATTTTACTCGTTTTATAAATCATGAAAGTCAGTGGTGGGCTGGTAATTGTTTAACAACTGGCTCTTCAAAAAAAAATATATATATATATATGCACATAAACTTAGAAATGTTACCAATATAAAGGTAAATTCCATGTCGCTCATTTATTCACATAAAATGATTTCGATAATTTTGCCAAAGTCCTGTATTCATAACTAACCTAAGGTTGCAAGTGAAAAACAAATAGGGTTTTGACATGAAAGATGGTTTATACCTTTGTTCACTTGAATGAATGAAATGCAAGTGAAATGAAAAAGACATTTGTTGGAACTTAAATCATTGTACAGTGGTATAAACAACTTCTTCACTGAATTGGATAACAAATCTCAAATACTGGACTGCTTCAATTTTTTGTGCTCTCATAATGTAATGGCTATAGACTTGATACAAGTTTAATCTCATTGTTAATTTATCACTTTAATGAATCTATAACCAATTTATAAAACAATATATTGAGCCCTGATTTACAATATTTACTGATTTTCATAATGTAAGTATTCCCACCACAGACAATTAACTGATTTTCATAATGTATTTCCACCACAGCCAATTTCAAACTACAAAATTGACATCACCAGAAGTGGGAAGTAATGAACAGTAATAGTACACCACTAAAAAGTATTTTCACCATATAGATAGAATAGATGTAAATAAAAAATTAAAGAGCAGAAAATACTATGTAATTAGGAAGTGAAGAGTTTTGACTATTATTACTTTTATTTATAATATTATTTAATTTTAAGTTTATATGATTTAACTTTTTTAAATAGCTATGTTATATTCAATCAGGGTCAGAAAATTCCTAGAAATTAAATATTTAGCCCTCCAGGCCAATATAAGTTGGCTCCAGCATGGTGCTGAAAAGGTATGGATAATCTGAACAAAAACTTATTCACTAAATTCTACATCAGTAACTATATATTGTCAATAGTCTTGACCATCTGTTGCTCAAAATTTTTAACTGCATGTGTAACATGCTTTTTTGAATTCTACCTCAAGTTCACCAAATACCACATGTAAAACTATGTTCAATACTGATTTATTTCTAGCTCTATGCTCATGGCCATACCACTAATTACCTAATTTATTAAATTAATGCATGCATGTGCTTTAAGTTGTCATAAAATTTATTACTGTCACCACACCACTATCCTGTCTTACTCAAATTATTAGAATCACATCAATCTTCCTTGAGCCATCGGCTAACAAATCCTCTTAAGTTGTCCTCAGTATAAAAATTCTGTCTCTCATTCTTTCCATGATTACCTATAATCACCACTCCCTGAATTAATCTCATTTCCCTGCTTCTCCTAATTCCCTTGTCCAAGCCATTCTGTACAATGCTACCAGTAACATTCTTATAGCATGTTACCTCCCTACTTGCAAATCTTCAAAGATAATCTAGTACCAAAAACTATAAATAATATTGATCTAATTCAGGGGTCACCAAACATTTTCTTAAAAAACTATACTGTAAATATTTTAGTCTTGGGGGAGGGGGGTCTCCACATCTTTATGTCTACTACTCAACTCTGGCACCATAGCATGAATGTGGCCAAGGACAATACATAAATGAATAGCCATTGTCCAATAATACTTAAAAACAGGCATCTGAGTCACTAGCAGTAGTTTGTTAGTTCCTGATCTAGTTGATCTTACTCATCTCTTCTAAAGGACAATAAATCATATTATATTTTCTCCTCATTACAGTTCAAATAGACTATACTCAGCATATACTGTGTGCCAGTTTATATAAATCATGCACATAAACTTTGTAAAAAAAAACATACTTTTTCCCAATTCTAGATGAGGAAACAAAAGATATGAAAACCTGATATCTTGTCCATAAATACACACCTAGTTAAGTGGCAGAGTCCACTTAGCTATCAAGGTAAACTTCAATTTTCTATCTCCATGTCAGGATACTAGAATGCAAATTTTATGTTTTGTATTTCTCTTGTGTAAACAGAACCCACTTTTGATGCTTATAAAAATCTCCTGGTTGCGCTAGCCGGTTTGGCTCAGTGGACAGAGCATCAGCCTGGGGATTCAAGGGTCCCAGGTTCAATTCCGGTCAAAGGCATGTATCCTGGTTGCAGGCATATCCCCAGTGGGAGGCATGCAGGAAGCAGCTGATTGATGTTTCTCTCTCATCAATGTTTCTAATTCTCTATCCCTCTCCCGTCCTCTCTGTAAAAAAATCAATAAAATATATTTTTTTAAAAAAATCTCCTGGCAACTACAGGATCTGGTTGGTTCCAGGTTATAATATGTGACCCATTAGTGAAACTAATTTATCCTTGAACAAGAGTTTACTGACAAAAGAGAAAAGTACTATTTGTTTTCTAATTCTGCCAATTACATCAGCTCTAAAGGTGAATGCTATTACCAACAAATAAGCTAATACACTCCAATTAGTATGTGTAGGAATGTTGATGAGAATATATACTACATAAATTTTTTAATGTCAAGTAATAGAGAAGATATAAGAATACGAAGAAGAGCCCTAACCGGTTTGGCTCAGTGGATAGAGTGTCAGCCTGCAGACTGAAAGGTCCTGGGTTCGATTCCGGTCAAGGGCATGTACCTTGGTTGCAGGCATATCCCCAGTGGGAGATGTGCAGGAGGCAGCTGATCGATGTTTCTCTCTCATCGATGTTTCTAACTCTCTATCTCTCTCCCTTCCTCTCTGTAAAAAATCAATAAAATATATTTAAAAAAAAAAAAGAATACAAAGAAGAGTTTCACTTCACCACACTAACTCTGAATTCCAACATGCAGAATAACATTAAGTTTGATCAATACTTTTCAATAAATGTTTGTTTTTACATATAAAAATATAAAATATCTATATTTCAATTTTAAAAATTTTAAATAGGAATTTCCATACAAATACGTAGAATTCCTGAATAGTAGTAACTCCATAATATATATGAAATTTATTTTAACTACTTCACTATCAAAAGCACTTAGATTGTGTCTAGTTTTGTACTATTACAAATAGAGCTGAAACAACTTTCCTTGTACATTAACTCTTACTATATACCAGTAAATATCTCTCTAGGATAGACACAATAGAATGCTGGGTGTGAAGGGTATGCTAATTTGAAGTTCAACCAACTGCTCTACACAAACCCTGTAAATAGCTAATGTTCACTTTTATAAGACTATTGAACATTAAGAGAATGGAAAAATCAGATCAATTATTATAAAAACTAGAGGACCCATGCACAGTGGGGTCCCTCGACATGGCCTGTGGGGATAGGGCCGAAACCGACTCTCTGACATCCCCCAAGGGGTCCCAGATTGCAAGAAGGCACAGGTCAGGCTGAGGGCCCCCACCGGTGCAAGATCGGGGCTGGGGAGGGACAGTGGGAAGGCTCCAGGGCATGTCTAGCGATAGCCCGTCTCGCCCAGTCCCAATTGGCTGGACCCCAGCAGCAAGCTAACCAACCGGTCAGAACGTCTGCCCCCTGGTGGTCAGTGCGTGTCATAGCAACTGGTCGAATGGTTGAATGAACAGTCGGACACTTAGCATATTAGGCTTTTATTATATAGGACTACAGGCCTGGTGCACGAAACTTGTGCATGGGGGAGGGGGTGTCCCTCAGCCCGGCCTGCATCCTCTCTAATCCGGGACCCCTCGGGGGATGTCTGACTGCCGGCAGTTGGACATCCCTCTCGCAATCCAGGACCGCTGGCTCCTAACTGCTCACCTGTCTGCCTCATCACCCTTAACCACCTCTGCCTCAGCCCCTGCCACCATGGCTTTATCCAAAAGGACGTCCGGTCTATCTGGTCTAATTAGCATATTACCCTTTTATTAGTATAGATGATTTTTTTTCCTCCCTAAAACTCTTTAAAATTCTATCTACCTCTCTCTAGTTCCACTGTAATGACTTTAGTTCAAGTTGTCAACATCTCTGGCCTGGATACTGCAACATCCTCCTCCTGTTGAGTCTTCTTGCTTCTATTGTTGCCCCTTACAATTTAATCACTATACTGCACTAAGAATGATTTTTCTAGGTATGTCTTGTTAGTTCTCTTCCATGCTTAAAAACTCTACAGTGGTTTCCTACTATTCCTAGGAAGAAAGACTCCAAATCTTAATATGATTTAGCAGATTCTTGTATGATATAGCCCCACTCTAGTCACAAGCCTTATCTCATGTCATTCTTATTCCCAAACTGGGGAGTGGGGGTGGGAAGGAAACAAACAAAACCCAGCTTTATTTCAGTCCCTCAAACATACCAAAACTCCTCCTTTTTCAGGGTCTTTGCACATGCCATTCCTTCAGTCTTGAATTTATATACTGATCTATTCTTTCACCAAACCCTCACTCCACTTACTATCACGTGAACTATCTCACCCTTAGAAAAGTTGACTTGCCCAGCCGACATGGCTCAGTGGTTGAGCATCAACCTATGAATCAGATCATGGCACATCCTCAGGTTGTGAGCTTGATCCCCACTGTGGGGTGTGCAGGAGACAATCAATGATATGCTCTCATCATTGATGTTTCTATCTCTCTCTCCCTGTCCCATCCTCTCTGAAATTAATAAAAAATATGTATTTTTTTAAAAGTCGACTAAATCAAGGCATGTGTTAAAATTCTCATAAAATCCTCTAATTTACCTTCAAAGCACTGAAGGCATTTAGATCTGTATTTGTGGTTATTTGATTAGTATCTATCTATAATAAGCTTCATGCCAACAAGGACTCAAGTCTTCTTTTTTTTTTATCCTCACCCAAGGATATGTTTTGGTTTCGTTTTTATTTTAGAGAGAGAGGAAGGGAGGGAGAGAGAAGGTAGGGAGAAAGGGAGAAATATCAATGTGAGAGAGGAACATGGATCATCTGCCTCCCGTATGCACTCAGACAGAGGATCTAACCTGTGACCTAAGTATGTGCCCTAACCGAGAATAGAACTGAAACCTTTTTGGTGTACCAATGACAGTACAACTGAGCCACCCAGCTAGGGCAAGGACTGATTCTCTTTTACATACTCTTTCTCCCTAAAATCTAGCATACTTCCTGGTACAGCATTATGTGGTGGAATATATATGGCAATTCATAGTATTTGACAATGCCTAATAGTAAGCAACACTATGATGACAAATTCATTGATAATTGTAATATTTAAGTAAGCCAAGAAATAATGAGGTCACTCACTACAGTGACCTTTCTAGTGCCTACATTACAGAAATTGGTATTATGTTTGAGTAAAGGGTGAATAAAGAAGCTTGAGGTAAGTAACTAGAAAAAGCTTAAATTGTATCTCTGATATTTGGAGGAAAGGAGGACAAGTATTGATGGTTTTTCAAGCAGGTAAAGTAGTTTGGACAGCTTCTTTGTCTTAGAGCTCTGAAGGAAAAACAGAGAGCCAGGAGACCAATGGAAAGCCAACTATAATCTCTTGGAAAAAAAGTATATAAATAAACTGGATGTATTATAGATTTGTACACCTGAAACCTATATAATTTTACTAACCAATGTCACCCCAATAAATTCAATTAAAAAATAAAAATTAAAGAAGTCTTTTGCACTAAAATATAAAACAAATAAACTGGGACGATAAACATCCTATATAATAAAAGGCTAATATGCAAATTGACTGAACAGTGGAACGACCCAGCTGCTATGACACGCACTGACTACCAGGGGGCAGATGCTCAATGCAGGAGGCTGCCCCCTTGTGATCAGTGTGCTTCCACAGGGGGAGGGCCACTCAGTCAGAAGCCCTGAGCCGGGCTCATGGCTGGCAAGCATAGCGACAGTGGCGGGAGCCTCTCCTGCCTCTGCAGCAGCACTAAGCTGTCAGTCGGACATTTCCCAAGGGCTCCCAGACTTTTGCACCGGGCCTCTAGTGTATGTGTGTGTGTGTGTGTGTGTGTATAATTGTGTAAACTGTTGACTCCTTTCATTGTATCTAAACTGTTATCACATAAGATCATAGTATACATATTCCTAATTAGCACCTTGATGAAACCTATGAAAGGAAAAGTATCTGCCATTACAATGATCACATTTCCAAGAAAATCCAAAAATTAGACTCAATTCTAGATTGGTCCTGTAACTCCAAAAAATCTAATGAGATGTTACCAGAAATGCCAACTGGTATGTCCTTCAGATTACTTCTGGCAACCAGAATAGACTAAGAATCTCAATCTCAGGGAAAACAAACCGGAGGTGGGAGGTATGATGGAGAAACTGTGATACAGAATAAAGGTCTACAAACATTTTCTGTAAATAGCCAAACAAAATATATATGGTTTACAAGCAATCTATTCTCTATCACAACTTGTAGCACAAGAGAAATCATAAACAATCTATAAAGGAATGAATATGGTTCTTTTTAAATTAACACTTTATTTTTTGTTCAATACCACAGAACATATTGACATTATAATACCATGGGCCAAGGATGGATATGGTAATTATGCACTCTAATTGTTCTTTGAATTCAAACATATTGCCTGACTATCTAAATATATCAGAGAACATATTTGATATGTCTCATAAAAGAGAACATTTTGATATAGAAAAATGTTATACACATTTTAAAAAATAAGAAAATTACAATACTTACTGTAACACTGGTAACTCCGAAGTAATCATTGCTGGAGAGATCTTTCCACAATGGAGCAAAAGAATCAAGTGCTGTACAACTCAAAACTTTAAAAATAACCTCAAAGGCAATCCTGTTAATAAAAAAAAAATATATTTTTCCAGTTTTATTGAAGTATAATTGACAAAACTGTTAAGATGTTTAAAATATACAATGTACAATGTGATTACTGGATATAGATGTATATTGTGAAGGGCTTCGCCACAAGTTAATTAACACATCCATCACCTCCCATATTTACCGTTATTTTGTGTGAGATCATTTAAGTTCTACTCTTTAGGCAAATTTCAATTATACGATAAAATGTTATTAACTACAGACACCATGTTATACATTAGATTGTCAGATCTTATTCACCTATAAGTAAAAGTTTGTATATTTGCACCAACCTCTCCCTATTTCCCCCAGTCCATGGTCCCTAGCAATCACTTTTTCACTCTGTTTCTAAGAGGTCTACTGCCCTCTTTCCCCCCGGGATTTCACATATATATGATACCATGTGGTATTTGTCTTTCTTTGAGTGGCTTCTTTCATTTAGCATAATGTCCTCCAGTATCATCCATGTTGTCAAATGACAGAATTTCCTTTATTTAAAAACACAGAAATATTTTTCTGTGTTTATATCTGTGCATATAAATGCAGGTGCACACACACATTTTCTTTACTCATTCATCTATAGACAGGCACTTAGGTTATTTCCATACTTTGGCAATTTGTGAATAATGCTGCTATTAACATGGAGTACAAATATCTCTTTGGGATAATGATTTTGTTTCCTTTGAAAATATACCCAGAAGTGGGACTGCCAAATCATATAGTATTTTTACTTTTCATTATTTGAGAAATCTCAATACTGTTTTTTCCAGTTTACGTTCCTACCAACAGTGTACAAGGGGTTCCTTTTCTCCATGTCTTCAGAGCATTTTTCTCTTGTCTTTTTGATAATGGATATCTTAACAAGTGTAAGGTGGTAGTGTTTTTTTACTTGCATTTCCCTGATGATTAGTGATGTTGAATAGTTTTTCATGTACCTGTTGGTTATTTGCATGTCTTCTTTAGAAAAATGTCTATTTAGGTCATTTGAAAAGAAAAATTATTATGAAATTAAAATCTCAACTATATGGACTACAATCAATCAATACCACCAGTAATCATACTCCTTGGTATTTACCCAAATGAAGTGAAAACTTATGCCCACACCAAAGTTTGCATGAATATGTTCATAGCGGCTTTATTCAAAATTGCCAAATCATGGAAGCAACCAAGATGTTCTTTAGGAGGTAAATGAATAAATAAACTGTGCTATAAGCAGAAAATGAAATATTATTTGGCACTAAAAAGAAATGAGGTATCAAGTCATGAAAAGACATGAAAAAGCTCCAATGCTTATTACTAAGGAAAAGAAGCCAATCTGAAACTGCTAAATACCATGTAATTCCAACTATATGGCATTCTGAAAATGGCAAAACTATGGAGATAGCAAAAGGATGCATGGTTGTCAGGAGTTCCAGGAAGAGAGGGATGAATAGGTAAACACAGAGGATTTTTAGGGCAGTGAAACTATTCTGTATAAAACTGCAATGGTGGACACAGATATATGTCATGTATTTGTTAAAACCCATAGAATGTACAACATCAGGAGTAAACCCTAAGCCGACCAGTGTGGCTCCGTGGTTGATCATCGACCTAAGAACCAGGAGGTCACGGAATGATTCCTGGTCAGGGCACATGCCTGGGTTGCAGGCTCCATTCCCGGTGCGGGTGGTGCAGGGGGAACCAATTAATGAGCCTTTCTCATCATTGATGTTTCTATCTCCCCCTCCCTCTCCCTTCATCTCTGAAATCAATAAAAATATATTTTCAAAAATAAAATCTATTTTTAAAAAGTAGCAGGGGAAGTAGGACAAAACAGAGTATCTAAGACAGGACAAGATGTACAAATGGATTAACATAGGTTCAACTGGAATTCCAGAAAAAGAATGTACAGGACAGAAAAAATATTTGATGAAATAGAGGAGAATTTGTCAAAAATAATTTAAGATATTAAAACACAGATAAATAGATTCATAAGCAGAATAAATACTTTAAAATATAAATATTGCTAAAAACCAAAACTTAAGAGAAAATTCAAAAGGAAGTTAAAAAAATAAAATTCTTCATCAGACTTTTCATTGGAAACGATGTAAGCTGAAAGACATGGAATAATATCCTTACAGTGCTGAGAAGAAACAAAGTGACCCCTAAATTATATACTCAATGATAATAATCTTTCAAAAATGAAATAAAAGAGTGATGTCATGAAAAATGGAGAAATAGGCAGCTCCAAGAATAAGCCCTTCAATGAAGCAATTCTTAGGCTGGAAAAAAAATCAAGACAAAAACAACATTTATGGACAAAAATCAACTTTAAGGGATCTAATAAAAATGTAAATAAAGGAGTTTTTAACCAAAAAAAAGAGTCTATTAGCCCTGGCCAGTGTGGCTCAGTTGGTTGAGCATCGTCCCATGCACTGAAAGGTTGCCTGTTTGATTCCTGGTCAAGGCACATCCCCAGTTGGGGTACAAGTGGGAGCCGGCCGATCAACATTTATTTTTCTTTTTTTTTTTTAAATATATTTTATTGATTTTTTTACAGAGAGGAAGGGAGAGAGATAGAGAGTTAGAAACATCGATCAGCTGCCTCCTACACATCTCCCACTGGGGATGTGCCCGCAACCCAGGTACATGCCCTTGACCGGAATCGAACCTGGGACCTTTCAGTCCGCAGGCCGACGCTCTATCCACTGAGCCAAACCGGTTCCGGCAACATTTATTTTTCACATCAGTGTTTCTTGCTTGCTCTCTCTCCTTTCCTCTCTCTAAAAATCAATAAAAACATATTTTTAAAAGAATCTATGAAATCGTCTAAGAAAGTATTATAGGCATTTAGCTTATCTGTCTACCACCCACCCTCCCCAGCTCAATGGTGACCATAGGAATATCAGTCCAAGTTCCTGGTACAGCTTGCTGGTGCCAAAAAGAAAAACATGGATCATAGTATTCTAAAAAAATTGAAACTGTGTGTTTTGAAGGGCTTCCCAGCTGTCATCTTTCAAAAAAATTTTTAATACAGACACTACAAGTAGCTGCCTGAAGCAAGAGACAGTGGATGGGACAAATGGCAGAACATATGAAAAGCCTTGAAATAAGGAGGCTGAGAAGGAAGATAATGTGAGAAATAAGAGCTTTAAAGGGCTATCTGTACACCAGGAAATCCAGAGTACTATATGCAAGCCCACAGATGGATGTATACTTAGAGAAAAACTGAGAGGAGCATAAGCTTTCAACTCTAGTTGATTTTTGGGCTGTGTGAAATCACAAGGTAAAGATCAAGACTACTTAGCTAACCTTTGAAGGAATACCTCAGCTAAGTAACAGTATGCAAACACCAAGAGATAACATTTTTTCCTTTTGACTACCACTGGCTCGGGAGATCATTGCTTATGATGGAGATAAAATTTCATTTATTATACATGACAAGGATTAGTCTTTGCAAAAATAGTTTGGAAATGTCACTAAACAGATGACTGCAGTCCTTAAGAGGTAACAAGAATAAACCCTGGGAAGAGGAAAGAATCAGTGTCTAGTTACCACATTATAATATTCAAAGTGTCCAATTTTTAACAATAAAAACAAAAAATCATGAGCATATGAAGAAACAGAAAAGTATGGCCCATTAACAGGGAAAAAAAATGTAAAGCTCTCTTCATCTGAGAGTCATTTGGCTTGTCATTTTTCTTTAGACCGTGGACATTCATCTGTGTTGTGGGATGGCATGTGTATATAAGATCATTTATGAAGGCTTTTCGAAATTTAACAGTCCTCCATTTTGGTAAATCCTATTCCTTTATCTCACATCCTAATACCTGCTTGGCCTGCCATCTTCTCCCTTCACCAGCGTGAGTCACAGTAAGAATGCAATCCTCAACTGTTTATCTTTTAAATAAAACACTGCTAAATTTGGTTAGTTTGTTAACTGAGTTCTCCTCATGTTCAATTTTGCATCCTCTGCTTTTATATATTTACTAGAGGCCCGGTACACAAATTCATGCATGGGTGGGGTCTGCCGGCCAGGGGGAGGGGCCGAGGGTGGGTGGCGGGCTGGCCCCGTGCCCTGGTCAAACTTCTGGTTGAACTCCCAGTCGAACTCCTGGTCAAGGGGACAATATGCATATTAGCCTTTTATTATATAGGATGCCATCCCACAACACAGATGACTGTCCACGGTCTAAAGAAAAATGACAAGCCAAATGACTCTCAGATGAAGAGAGCTTTACGTTTTTTGTATTGATCAATCTCTCCCGAAACTTTACACACTAACCTCTGAAAATACAATTCCACGATAAACACATTCAAGCTTTCCCCAAATGCTGCCTCCATATTATCTTCATATCTAGTCACAATTTTCCTTACTAACACTACTCTCTTAATTTTATCTTCTTATAAACTCCAACATCATGAAATGGCACCTAGAACCTTAATGCTCTCCAGTAATCTCATCTTTCACTATTCCTTTCCCATTACTCTAATACCAAAGTGATTATTTCCTGTACAAAACCAACTCTCTTCTGCTTTTCTGATGTGTACATACTAGCTCATGCCCCATACCTGACTCTTCCTGAAACAAACTGGAAATCTCCAACCTTTCTGAAATCTAGGTAGAATTAGGTCTCACGTCTATAAGTTTTCATTCTACCTTGTACACGAACACAACTCAATACTTTTGCAATATATTGTGTGCATGCATATATTACTCGGCAAACTGTAATAAATTTCATTCAGTTCCCTTTTGACTACTCTATGTTGACTTTTAAAAAATATATATGGTTTTATTTGTTTTGAGAGAGAGAGGGAGAGGAATAGAGAGTTAGAAACATTGACCAGCTGCCTCCTGCACGCTCCCTACTGGGGATCGAGCCCACAACTCAGATATGTGCCCTGACCGGGAATCAAATGTACCTCTTGACGCTCAACCACTGAACCACACAGAGTGAACAATAAACTGAATTTTTAGAACCGTTGTAAGTTCACAGC